TAATGTGGAAAAAGGCGTGGGACTACTGATTTTCATCACATCAAGGGGGGAAACCTAAACCCGAGGATTTTAAAAGCGCCTAGGATGGGGGGGGGGGGGGGGAAAGCATTCAGGGTTAATTTGGGAAACGGGGCACAGATCTAATTCCCTAAACAAGAGCCCCTCACCAACTCAAGGGAAATTTCCTTGAGGGAGGGGGGGGGTTTCGAAAAAATTATTTCAGAGGGCGAGGGGGGGTTCTTCAAGTGGTTTTGGTTATTTAAAAGGGGTGGACAAAAAAGGAGAGGGTGTATAAATCGTAGTGAAAAAGGGGGGGAGAGGTGGCCTAGAAAAGGGCGGAGGGGGGGGAGAGAGGTTGTGTGGGGGAAAAAGCTTGGACATACAGCAGGATTGTGAGCAGTTAGACAGAAATGAAGGGTGTAAATTTTTTGGGGCTTCACGGGGGTTGGGGTGTGAACAGGGTAATATCTTGTGAAGGGGGTTTAGGGAAACCAGTTAGCCAGACACAGTCCGGAGGTTGGGAAGGGACAGCCTGGACTTTAAGGGGGGTTTGGGATATTTGTTGCTTTGGTGATTTCTGATTTTTATTTTAAAAAAAAAAGATGCGCTAAAAACCCCAAGGGGTATATTACAACCCCGGCTCCAAAAGGCCTTTACCCCGGGGTTTTAAAGGGAGCAAATAAACCATAGAAAAAGTTTATTTTTATTATAATCAAAAAGAACGCTAAGCCACAAGGACTATACAGCCCCAAAAAAATTTAGACTTTATTTCCTTCAAATTTTTCAGCAATATGTACACTATGTACAGGAAAGTAATGCACCCACGGTAAGCAAAGCAGAAAAAGAAACCCCAAGATAGCAACCCTGCTTCAACCACTCAGAATGGGAATGACAAAGGGGAACAAAGCGTACCCCCCATAAAACCCGCAATTGCCAAAAACCCCTCTTCTTATTGGCAGAAAAAAATGGGCACTATTGAACGACGGGGCCCCATCATCAACTCAGCAACCTGGTTTGCTGGTTGGGGGAGAAGCCTAAAGAGGGTGACAGCCCGAATAAAGGCTCATACTCTTTGCAAAGCCCAGCATACAGCGCTGCAGTACTTATAACTCATCGGCACCTCTGCAAACGGATTAATTTTGAAGATGGGAAAGTATTCTTATTGGGTCACCCTGCCTCGGGGGATTATTATTATAACAAGGGGGGGGAGATGGGGGGAGACCAAAGGGAGCATTTTGAGAAGCCCGCCCGAGGCTTGGGAACAGAACTGACACTGCGTCGAAATATTTGAAAACGATGCACCACTCTCAATAGAGGCAAAAAAGGGGCCCCACAAAAAAACTTAAGATGAAGAGCCAATCCCAATTTTCTCCCCAAATTGCCAACGGGTGCTATAGCGGGTTGGGGAAAACATAGAAAAAGAAAATAGAAAGGGTCATTGTCGTGCAAATCCGGAAAAGACCTAACATAATCAAGTGCAACTGACGAGGAGCAGATAGATCAATGCAAAGGGAAAAAGAGTGCGAGTTAAAATGGTGGGGGGCACCCAAATTTTTTAAAAATTTAGAGAAAGAATGAAATTTTATTATTTTTTAAACACGGAAACGCTAAACCCATAGGGGCATACAACGCATGCAGGGGGTGGAATATTTAGCTAAAACAGGTTTCTGAACAAATCCAATTCCCTAGATCAAAGCCCCTCACCAAACATCAAAAGGGAACCCCCCTTGAGGGTGAGAAGTCTCCAACTGATTTTCCACGATCACAGTGGGACCCTCCCCCAAAAATGATCTACCTGCCTGGTCACCTGGGGTATTTTCCGGGAAAAAATGCCCCCCCCGCCCAGTCCCCGCCCAGGGCCCCCGGGGGATCAGGGCCTGATCAATGAAGCGTTACTGCTGGCCACACGCAGTCCAACATAGAACCCAGCCTAGCTGACGGGACCGACTTTTTGTACGGGCCCAAATCCCCTTTAAGGCGCCCGGGGGCCCATTGGTAATTTCCCCCCTTTTGCCTGGTGGGAGGCGTTAAACAATCTTGGCCTTGACACTTACGGGGCTTTCTCTGACCCAATAATCAATGTTTTTAAGGGTAGTAGACCTGATCAATGATGGAAAAACGTTTAAAAACCCTAAAAGATGGGGGCGGCAGAGAAAAGATGAACACAATATCCGAGATACAGAATGAACGGGGAGAAAGAGAGCAAACTGTATACCACCTATGCAAATAAATACAGGCTACAGTACAATGCAGCAGAGAATGTACAAAGACCTGCTGAAACGATATTCCAAGGCGCACACTCATTAAACGATCTGGAGGGGAACAGAAGAGGGGGACCACACGAGGAGGGTGAACCACCACCTTCATGTGAGTTGGCACCGAGGCCAAAAAGAAAAACTGTCGGGGAATTGTAAGTACCAGGAAAATGCGGAGAGACTTGTGCTTAAGAGAAGTTCAACTTCGCAGGCGATAGGCGCAAAGAAGCTGCAGGCGTGCGAAGCCTCGCAGATTGAGAAACTAGCAAGAGAGTAGTAGTAGAGGTAGGAATAGGCAAGGTGTGGGTTTCCGAGGGTAAAACTGCAAAAGAATTACACGGGGGTGACCCAAGAAGACACGGCACTGGAAGAGCTGGTAGGCGGGGGAACCGCCAAAGTTGGAGGTCTCCTACCTACTCGAGAATAAAGAACACAGGGAAGATTGCCCTGAAGGCAGAGCCGAGACACAGCCATAGCATAAGGCCTTCACTCTCCTAAAGGCAACGGATTTCACGTTCATTAATATAGACTTGACATCAGCGGGAAAAAGAAGGGAGAGTTTCATTGCAATTGACACAAGTGGGGCAAAGACTGCAAGATGTATTGGCATGATCCGTGACACCGCAGACCAGTATTTAGCTTGATATCCGAAGCGCCAACAATTTCGACACTGTTGGGGTGTAGGGACCACAAGGTGACGTCCCATGATATAAATGGAGGATGGGAGTTCACGACAAAGGTTAAGCGGGTGGTGTTACTGGGAAAGCGCCTCTACCCGTGAGCGGACAGGACATATGTATTCATTTTGAGAATTGGAAGGGCCTAAGGGATAATTGCTCTAAAATATCGTCACCTCAAGACAAAAATCACACTGTACAATGGTACACAGTAAAACCACCGTACCACTGCAAGAATTGAGAGTAGCATGTTTGTGAACTGTGATAGGGACATTATAAATGGAATATGGGAAAGATCGTGAATTTGGTTTGCATTCTGAACAGTAACGATGTGCACACCTCTCTGAAGAGCATGAAAGGATATATATTGGCCAACGTGTCGTAACTGAGCTTTACCCATACTGTGATCTGAAAGATAATCAGACATCCGCTGCAAAGAATTTGGTACACTGTGTACTTGTAAAGATGGCGAGTAAAGGAACTGGGTGTCGTGTAGGTCGATTCTGTGAGGAATGAGTAGAACTCAAAAGACTGTCATCAGCAAAGTGTCTGGAACGTTTAGGTGTAGGACTGCAGGTGGCCCAACCTGAAGCAGGTGGACGATCCGAAAACCGTCCCACAGTATGTGGGGAAGCTGGACACATAGTTAAAGACGTGCAAGAGGCAGAGGCACTAGAAGAAATGGGTGGAGCCTCGGTACCTGAAGCAGGTGATGAATCAATAGCAGAAGGTGCAGGGGTATGGTTAAAGCCTGGAGAATGGTCCAGTAACGGAGCCGGGCACATCTTTATCATAAAAAAAAAAAAGACAGCAGAGTGACAGTTACTAGAAAGCATGAAAGGGCATGGCATGGAACCCATGCCATACCCTATCCTTCACACCAGAAAACCAGCACTCCAGGATAGCAACCTCACATCCCCGAGCTTCCTCGGCAGACAAGAGAGAGGGCGCTCGGATACCCGCCACAAAACATACCTCCCTTGGCTGCCACCTCCCAGAACCAACAGGCAGCCTCTGAAGATACACCAGTCACCTGCAGGACATCCTGCCCTACCTCCTGGAAATCCAGGAAGGGAGCAGGGCGCCTCCAGGTTCCATGGCAAACTACACTACTCCCGAGGGACCCCACGGAGGGAGATGAATCCCAGCACACTTCCCCAATGCCAGAGGCGAGGACCACAGAGGCTACAAACAGGAAGGGGAAACGAGAGGGTTGAGAAAAGGGAAAAGGGAGGGATGGGATAGGGAAGAGGGGATTGGGGGGTAATTGGCTTCGGTCTGAGGAAGATCAAAACGTCTAATTCCTCAGACCAAGGGCCTCTTCACCGCACCTAAGAAACCCCCCCACCCCCTTGAAGAGGAAAGCAATCATAGATGGTGTCATCTTGGAAAAATCTGCAGGGGGAAGTAGGTCATGATAGGCTGAGGGACTGATTACCTCAAACTAATCCTGATCTTAACCCATCTTCTAAATTGGACTGAGAAAGCCACTCTGGCAAAACATTTCCACATTAAAAATACGTACCCAAGTGTTGAACATGCATCTAATTCTCTAAACCATTTATCTACACAGTGGTTATTTACCTAACCACAGAAATTCCACACTAGTTAATTTAGCAGAGAATGTTGCTAGAAGCTAAGAGGGCTTTTCATCCAAGATGTTCAAGAATTCTTCCTTGGATCAAACCTAATTACCTCCCATTACATTCACCAGGTAACTATAGAACCTCTATGGAATCAGCATTTCTCTTATCAAGTGATAATGTTATGCATCCTACCCAGTTTGTGGTAGCAGGGGTTCAAATAGCTCTGCCCTGCTATTATGGTTGACTAGTTATATGGAGGCTCCTTGATGCTGGTGAAGGAAACAGTAGATATGTTGTGTCTAAGGGCAATGTGTGGTGTAAATATTAGGCAGAGAATTTGTAATGTGGAATTAGGAGGAGGTTAGAGTTACAAGGAAATGGTGAAAGTGTTTCTTTGTTTTTTGGGTCACCCTGCATTAGTGGGAGATGGAAGGTGTTAAAAAAAAAAAAACATTACCACTAGGGAAAAATAAAAATAAATGTGTTCATATAAATTTTAATACAGAGCAAACATTTGGATGAACATAATTATTTGAATATCTTGCCCTCGCTGAATTTTCGACCCTTAGTGTCTTCTCCAATCCACTTGAAATACTGGTCAACCAACTTCTTTGTCTCTTCAGTGTTAGGATCCAATTTCCGCCAATCATAGGATTCATAGTCGATTGTCCAGTCTTCACAAAGCTGTGAAATTAATGGTATTCCTTAGATTACTTGTAAATTTTTCCTAACTATGCCAACTGGTAAGGCATTGCAGTTATTTATGGACCAACTGAAATGGACAAAAATGTACATGAAGCAGAACCTCTATAGTTGGGGATTAAGTGCACCATACACCAATCTCCTAGAGAGTTTGAAAATACTAAATATCAAAATTTCTGACTCGCAAAATTGTAATACAATCGCAAACAAACCACAGAACAGGTGAGGGTTGAACCCCTGGCGAGCAAATCATAACCCCAAGCCAGTACCAGGTGGCTTATGCACTGGCCTGAAGCTTTACAACTTACTCGCCAGGGGTTCCAACACCAATCTGTTCCATGGTTTATCAAAATTACTGCTTTGCAATAGAAGTGTAACATTAAGTAAATAGTAAAAAATTTAATTATTAAATGCAACTCTTAAGTTTAAATTAAGATTCCTGCAATATGATATACCTTTGAAGGCTTTCATATTCTCAAAGCCCAGACCTAGGCCAGGCTAGTCTGGTGCTTGCCAAGTCAACCAGGGAGTTACTGCTTGAAGCCTACTGGCCTACATTTCCATCTCAACCTGGTTGATCCAACACTAATAGATTTGCATAAAATTAAAAAGTAAAAATTGAATGGACAGACTTCCTATGACACATTTTATATGAAATAGATGTTGGTAATGGAGGAAATGAAGTTATTGTTAATGTTTTAAAGTTTTATGAAGGGGAAACCATAGCTTAACCCTTTCTGTGTGGGTCCCATTGTTTTACGGCTCTGAAGCCAGTTGGTCTCATAGTACTAAACCATAAACTCAGCTCACTCAGGTAAGCTGTGAGTGGTAAATTTGGGCCTATTAAATTAAAAATGAAGCACTAAGCCTACAAAGGTCACACAGCACAGCAGAGAAGTGTGCAGGGGTATTCAGTAGCAAGAGGGAGAGGGATTATTAGGTCAAGCAGTGCAGCGGGGCAGGGGATAGTGCAGGGGTAAATGGTAGCAAGAGGGAGAGGTAGAAAGGGCTGTGAGGAGTGCTAGAGGCAATCATCCAAGTCTGCAGTAAATCAGTTGCTGTCAAAAATTATTTTTTATTTTTTTATTAACACACTGGCCGATTCCCACCAAGGCAGGGTGGCCCGAAAAAGAAAAACTTTCACCATCATTCACTCCATCACTGTCTTGCCAGAAGGGTGCTTTACACTACAGTTTTTAAACTGCAACATTAACACCCCTCCTTCAGAGTGCAGGCACTGTACTTCCCATCTCCAGGACTCAAGTCCGGCCTGCTGGTTTCCCTGAATCCCTTCATAAATGTTACTTTGCTCACACTCCAACAGCACATCAAGTATTAAAAACCATTTGTCTCCATTCACTCCTATCAAATACGCTCACGCATGCCTGCTGGAAGTCCAAGCCCCTCGCACACAAAACCTCCTTCACCCCCTCCCTCCAACCTTTCCTAGGCCGACCCCTACCCTGCCTTCCTTCCACTACAGACCGATACACTCTTGAAGTCATTCTGTTTCGCTCCATTCTCTCTACATGTCCGAACCACCTCAACAACCCTTCCTCAGCCCTCTGGACAACAGTTTTGGTAATCCCGCACCTCCTCCTAACTTCCAAACTACGAATTCTCTGCATTATATTCACACCACACATTGCCCTCAGACATGACATCTCCACTGTCTCCAGCCTTCTCCTCGCTGCAACATTCATCACCCATGCTTCACACCCATATAAGAGCATTGGTAAAACTATACTCTCATACATTCCCCTCTTTGCCTGCCTCCAAGTACAAAGTTCTTTGTCTCCACAGACTCCTTAGTGCACCGCTCACCCTTTTCCCCTCATCAATTCTATGATTCACCTCATCTTTCATAGACCCATCCGCTGACACATCCACTCCCAATTATCTGAATACATTCACCTCCTCCATACTCTCTCCCTCCAATCTGATATCCAATCTTTCATCACCTAATCTTTTTATCCTCATAACCTTACTCTTTCCTGTATTCACTTTTAATTTTCTTCTTTTGCATACCCTACCAAATTGTTTGCAGGAATGTAGATTGAAAGATGGAGCACCTCCACCAAACTTGCCTGGATATGCAGCTTATAACCTAAGGTCAACCAACTGTTGTGTGATGTATGTCAGAAAGAACTTGCCACATTCACTCCTTTCCTTGCAGAGTCGAGTTAACATGCAGTATCATGGTGTCAAAGTATATGCAGGCGATTTTTCCATAAACATTTTTAATCTCTATGCCCCAGCGAACCAGCTTCGACCTGATGCTTTACCAGATCGCATCAATAGTGAACCTACCATCATTCTTGGAGATTTTAATGCCAGACATAAGAATATTGGTGGGTCTATTACAAACACCAATGGAACTAAACTAGTGAGATTGCTGAATGAGCATGATAATGTTCGAATTGTGGGCACTACTGAGCCTACTCACATATATGGTGGCATACTAGATCTGTGTCTTGGATTTAATACATCATATACGATGCATGACTCTGTCATAGTTGATGATCTTCTATCTGATCACTTCCCAAGACTAACAACTGTCAATCTTGATCACATCTCCAGCAATCAAGGAGCTAAATACAGAAGGAGGAAACTTATTCTCAAACCAGAACACAGAGACAACTTTATTAACCACTTGGATCAATGGTATAAGAATTACGAGCCCACTGGCACACAAAAACTTAATGATGATTTAATTACCACTATTGAGAGTGTTCTCACAGATCAAGTGGGCAGGAATACGAAACAAAGACCCTCCACTATAAATAACAATAAAAACCAATGTAAATACTATAATGATCCACAGCTGCGCAATCTAACACATGCAGCTAGGAGGATTGGTAAAGCATACCGTGAATGTAGAACCCCAGACCTGCTCAGAACGTTCCAAGCTGCACTAACAAATGCAAGGAATAGAAAGGAAGAACTTAGGCAACAGGAATGGGAACAGTTTGTTAGTGGATTAAATAGGTCCACCCCTTTGAGTTTGGCTTGGAAAGGTATAAATAAAATAACCAGGAAAAAGACTGGCAATGTTGCTCATCCCTTTCCTCTTGAAAAAGCAAATGACCTCATAAATGACTGGTCCAAAACATCCAGGCATGAAGCCTTCCATCTCATATTAAAAAAATTTAGAGAGTACTTCTGAAGAAATGTTGAAACTGATTAATTTTATGAGCCAAAATATTGATGAGAGTGATTGCCTCTTTACCGAGTATGAATTAGATAACGCATTAACCAAAGGTCGATCAACTGCTCCTGGAGAGGATGGTATAACCTATGATATTCTCAGAACTCTAAGGCACGTGCCTGATAACCCTTTGTTGGCACTGTATAATCTCAGTTACATTGAGGGCGTTCTTCCTACTTCCTGGACCAATAGTCTCATTGTGCCTATCCCTAAGCCCCAACAGCCTGATACATTTAGGCCGATCTCCTTAACTAGTTGTCTTTGCAAAACTTTTGAAAGAATGATGCTTAACAGATTGTACTACAGAATCAGACATCAACTTTCCCCCTACCTCTATGGGTTCATGAAAGGTAAAAGTGTGCAGAACTGTATTTTCACCTTTCTCACTGCACACACCTCTACTAGTTTTACCACTTTTCTTGATCTAAAATCTGCATTTGATATTGCAAACAGAACCGTTATACTACATGAACTAGCCAAAATGAATATTGGTGGTAGCTTACTCTGCTGGATAATAGGATACCTTAAAATAGAGAAACCCCTCTGTCCTTTCCCAAAAGGGCTTCAGAAGGATTCTAAAGAAATGTCTTTAGGACCCCGCAGGGAGGGTTCTTGTCCCAGTTTTTTAATATTCTGTTTAAATGATTCCAAATGCTTCCCTGCCTCACCAAAACCATATAGCTATAAGCTATGTGTTTGGATATAAAGATCCATAAACGGGCATAAAAAGATGAATCCCCATTTTTTAATGAAGTTCAACCCAAATTTGTAACGACTAGGCCTCAAAATTTCCTCAAAAACAAAGATTTTAAACCAAGCAACGACTCCCCCCCCCATCAATTTGCAGGGTGAAATCATTTGTACTTTTAAAAACTTACAGATATCTTGGTGTAATTACCCTTTAACAAACCCCACTATCCCAAACAAAACAAGAAATGTAAACCCTAGGTTTAAATGTTTCCCAAAGTTTTGCTGGCTACAAAACCCCCAATATGGGTTTATGTGAGAATCGTGTAAATTGATGTACATAGCCTAGGGTTTAGGTTTTTAATTGATTATTTTTGCTCCCTTTTGATAAAATAGAGAAATTTCCTCCAAAAAAAACCCCTTGGATTTAAAATGCAAAAGGGAAGCTATCGGGACTATTTTTGGGCCCTTGCCCCCGATTTTAAAAAAGTTTTTAACATGGGGGGAAAGCTTGGTATTTTTTAGTTCAGTGATAGGATTGTTGAAATTTAAACTGAAATCGGTATTGGATTTTGAAAAAACAAACCCAGACACTGTCACATTTAAATTTTTCCAAGTGTCAAAGGGGTTTAATACCACAAGTCTAAAGGATTGTGAAAACTTTGGCAATTGCTTTAAATTTTTTAAAACCTGCATGAACTGAAAGGCAACAAGACCCTTTCACCCCTCCAGGGAAAAGGGTGTGTTCTTTTAATTATCACTACCTTAATTTCCCTCCCAAGAAGTAATTGCTAGTAACCCCTTCCCTTTAAATCTTTTGTTAGGCAAGGCTCAGAAAAAATTTTTTTCGCCTAGTGGTATTTAAAAAGTTTCAAAAGGTTATATACATTTGGGGAAATTCTAACCCGGGGGTTTTTTCTGGGCGGGGTGCATCTGCTCTTGTTGCACCTCCCTAGTTAAGAAAAGGGTTAAATTTAAAATTTTTTGAGTTAGGCTTAAGAATTAAAAAAAATGGGCGTCTACACGGGAAAAATGAATTGTTTTCATCCCAATGGGGCTAAAGCTAACCTAAGGCACGGCTTGACTC